TGAATGAAATGCTATCTGCCTCCAGAGGAAGAACTAATGGCATATGAATACAGATTGAAGCATACTTTTCAAAACTTTATTATTATTATTTTTTGGTCTGTGTTTTCTTTTGCAACATGACTAATATGGAAATGTTTTGCATGACTACACATGTATAATCTATATCAAATTGCTTTCCTTCTCAAAGAGGGGTAGGGGAGGGAAAGAGGGAGAAAATTTGGAACTCAAAATGTTAAAAGACAAACGTTAAGAATTTTTGTTTACATGTAATTGAGAAAAAATTTTAAAATTAAGTGAAAAAAGAAAACAATGGGCTACTCTTAAGGAAAAACACAGCAGAACCTTATAAGAATAGGATTGTTTGTTTTTTTTTTTTAACATCCAAGGTTTTTAGGGGAAAAAAAACAGCAAAAAGCCACAGTTTCTTGCAAAATAAGTGACCAGGAGATATTGGTATATTCCTGTGGATGGGCTCCCATATGTAAGGGATGTTGTATGTATGTTGTATTTTCCCCACGTATGTTATGTGTATCCATATTGTTCTGTAAAATGGGGCTTTCAGAGAGATGTGATTTGATATCTCTAGAGGAAAGGAATCAAACTCAAGGGTCTGTGGAATTCAGTGTGGCCAGAACCAGATTAAAATGCAATTGGGAAATGTTTTCTAAGTCAATATGTGACCACTGAGTTTGACATCACGGCTGTAGAGTATCCTCCATCCATCCTTCTCCAAGGAAGACTTTTGATTCCTGCCAGGAGAGGAGGCAAGAGATGTTCTCCCCAGAGAAAGGCTCCAGTTAAATCTATCTGCATGCCAAATAGTGTTAGTCTTGGGGAAGTCATTTCTAGGTTCAAGTTAAGCTCGTGATCACTATCCTGTAACAGGGAAGCAGGAACCCAAGCTATAAATCCAAGGTTAGACTCCCCACCAAATGCCAGTTCCACAAAGAACACACATAGAAAAATAGCAAATAAACCCATTTTTTCAAGGTAATAGCAAACAGAAGTCAGAGAACTGCTCAGATGAGAATGTATCAGACAGCACACAGAGAAAAGGAGCTCTCCAGAATCCCAGCTCTCATTCGAGGAGAAATTGCCTGAAGTCGCTATTGTAGTAAGCTGGAGATAGGGGTGTGATTGAGGTGTTGGCTCTGCTCCGTGTCCTCTCCTTCCTAGAGTCTTTCTCTCCCATCGGAGATCTGAAGAGAGTCTGGAGCCAGAAGACCGAGACCTCACCTCTCCCGAGCTCTTGCCAGTTCCGCACCTCCTGCAGGTGAGGAGCATTTAGTAATCCATCTCCGTCACTTAGGAGAGCTCCATTCACTCTCAGTATCTTCACTTTATAGGTGGGGAAACTGAGGCCTGGAGAAGAGATAGCAAACTTAGAGATCCATCAATTCCAACCCCATAAGTTTACAGATAAGAGAAAGTGAGACCCAGAGAGAAGCAGGGAGCTTAAATCTCATGGACTCCAACCTCCTTCTCTTACAGGCAAGGGAAACTGAATCCCAAAGATAAGGAAAGCCCCACCCCTCCCTCCCTGCCAGAGTCCCTGGATTCCAATCTTTCATTATCTAGACAAGACCTAAAGAGGGAAAGAGAGCTTAAAAAGCCTCAACCCCAAGCTCAGGAAACTGAGGCCTGGTGAGAAGGTGCAAGTGCCAGGCATAGAATGCCATACCTAGCAAGTGTCGGAGTCAAATGTCACACCCATGTCTCCCAGCTCCCCGCATTAGGTGCAGAGACTATGAAGCTGTTGGTCAACATATCTTGTTCTTCTAGCCAGTGAATCCCAATTGAGGGATGAGGGACGGATGTGCGTGTATGGTATGTGTGTGCGTGCATTTGTGTAGTGTGTGTGCATGCGTGTGTGTGTGTGTGTGTGTGCGCGCGCGCGTGTGTGTGTGTGTGTGTGTGTGTGTGTGTGGTTTTATATTCCTTTCTCAAGCTAGGACATGTTTAAAATTAGCTTTGACCTTTGGGAGGGGGGGACTCAGGAGAAAGATTTACGGGCAGTTTTAGCAAGAGCTAGCAACAGCTGATTGCAGCCTAACTGCACCCCCCCCTCCATCGGGCCTCCCCTATCCAAGGGGTGCTTCCCTGGCTCTCCACTCTCCTGGGGGAACAAGCACACAGCAACTTTACCTCATTTTCAAATCGAAAGGCCCCACTGGGGCTGTCTTGAGTGAATTAGCTAAGCCATGGAGGACAGAAGAGGCAAGAGAGCAGGTAAGGCTAGGGGGCATAAAGGCTTGCAAAGGAAGGTGTAGGTGGCTGGGGAGGAGGCAGAAACTGGGCAGAGCTGGGAGGGTGGGTGTCTTTCTCTACCCCCAAGGTTCGGAGAAAGGCTGGTCCCCCAGGGAACCCGAGGGTCATCTGGCCCTCTGAAACACACCAGACTTGGAGTATCCCAGGGTGGCGGTGGGAGGGCAATCTCCAGTGGCGTGACCTTGGGCAAGCCCTTCAGACTCAGTTTCCCCCTACCTGCAGCACCACCTGTTTACCAAGCTGAAGGCATTTGGGGAGCCCTTTTGTTCACTAACTAGACCATTGTAAGTCTAGGTCCTTTGCTTTGGGCCTCCTCTCCCTCTTTTGTGATGTGACAAGGGTTATAGTCAATGATCTTCAGGCCTCAGTTTCTCCCTTTGTAACTCTAGGAGGGTCACACTCTATGAGCTTTAAGTGTCCTTCTAGGTCTGATGTTCTGTGGTTCTAGGTCCCTTTCCCCATCTTAGTCTCTGTTTCCTTTCTCAAGAAATCAAATAAGGAAGCCAGACTCCCTGACCACTAAGCTGCCTCCTTGCCACCATCTGCTCTGACCCTGGGTTGTCCCCTCAGTAAACGGTGGGACTAGATGATCTCTAAGCCAATTAGCATCTTCCTCCACCCCTCAGTCTGTCAAGCAGGAGGGACAGTGTGCGGCAGCCTGAAAGTCAGGAGAGCCAGGACACTGGCTTAACTCCAGGGGCCTGGGAATCCTCAGGCACGGTGTAGCCCCTCTTTGGGCTGCTTTCCTCCTCCATCAAGCAGAAAGAATCACGTGTCTGTTCAGGTGTTTCAGTCGTGTCCGACTCTTCGTGGCCCCATTTGGGGTTTTCTTGGCAGAGACACTGGAGCGGTTTGCCATTTCCTTCCCCAGCTCATTTTACAGATGAGGAAACTGAGGCCAACAGGGTGAAGTGATTTGCCCAGGGTCATACAGCTAGTAAGTGTCTGAAGACCGCTACCTCAACTCTGCCACTCACCAGCCATGTGACCCAGGGTGAGGCCCTTTCCCTCAGAACCTGTTTTCCTTTCTGTGAGCTATATGGAAGAATGTGGCCACCTGAAACATCCGCAGCCCACTGTCAGGGTTCTTGTGAGAAGATGGTGGGGTTCATTGTAAAAGCCCAGGGCGAGTGTCAGCTGTTCCCAATCTCTGCCCTGGGGACATTAGAGAGTTAGTGGTGGGCCAAGAAAGGGATCTGAATTGTTTTCAGATCCTGGAGTTAGGAGGAAAGGAGAGCCGGGGTCTCAGGGAACCACAGGGAAAAGGGATCTATCTAATGCTGGAGAGATGGGAGAGGGAGACAGAGCCAGAGCCAGAGCCAGAGAGAAAGAGACACACAGAGGAGAGACGGCGAAGGAGAGAGACAGAGAGAGAGAGACATGATGGGGGGAGGGAGAAAGACACAGAGACAGAGAGAGGGGAAAAGACAGAGAGAAAGGGAGGGAGAAAGAAAGACGAAGAGAGGGAGGGAGAGAGAAAGAGAAAGAGGAGAGAGAAAGGAGGGAAAGAAAGGGAGGGAGGAGAGAGAGAGAGAGAAAGTAACCAAGCCCCACCCTGCCCCCCTGGGGCTCCAGGCCGAGGCAGGGGTACATACTGAGACCAGCTTTGGCCTTGTGCCCGCTTCTTGGGGGGAATGAAGAGACGAGGTGGGAGGAGGGGAATGGAGCCAGGCTTTCGTGGCTGAGAGGGCAGTGAGGCCCACGGGCCCCACACGTGGGGTGGGAGAGGTTGCTGTGTGGCCTCTCTCTGGGACAGGGACCCATCTGTCCTACTTACAGGCCAATGCTCCCGGAGGAGCCCTGGGCCCGGGGCCAGTGTAGTGCAGTGACCCCGATACTGCCCTAGGCTCCCCATCCAGAGACTCCCCTAACCCCAAGCCTCCTCTTCCTCCTTGCCCACATCAGTAGTGAGCACCAGGACCCTCTCACCTTCTTTCCCTTTCTCCCTCCCCTCCTTCACTGAAACCCTCCATCTCTCTTTGCCTTCTTCTGTTACGATGGCTTTCTGCTCCCTTTATTCCTTCCTTCCTCCTTATATCCCTCTGGGCTTCCCTCCATCTTTCCTTATCTCTGTTCCTCAGTTTCTCCTCCCCTTCTCCCTCTGGCCTTCCTTCCCTCTGTGCCTCAGTCTCCCCATCTGTTCTTCAGTCTCTCAGTGTACTCTGTACCTCCATCCTCCCCTCTTGCCTCTCTCTCCCCTGGGCCTCCCAGGAGGGTACAAAGGGCCATTTCGGAGTGGGAATGGGGGGGTAAGATATTGCCTGGGGCAGCTTCCTCTGAGGGCACCAGCCACCTCTGCCTCTAGGACCCCAGAGGCCATCCTGGTCTCCACCCCCGGAGCAGGGTGTGTGTTGCAGGAGGGAGGGGACTCACTGACACCCAAAGCCCTCTGTCCATTGGCAGCCCTGGAGGGAGAGGGAGGAGGAGGAGAAGAAGGGGCCTGGAGGTTATCGGCCCCATACACAGTTAGGGGACAGGCACTTGGTGGTGGCAGTTCAGAGGCCTCCCTTACTGACCTCTGTCCTGCCGGGGGCCACCAGGGGAAGGACAATATTACAAACATCCCCTCCCCCAGGATCCCTCCCAGCAAAGGCACAGCCCTCTGAACCCTAGCCAAGGCAGTCTAGGACCTTGGAGTAACAGACAGAGGTGGGAAAGTGGAGAGAGAGGGAGAGTGGGAGGGAGCAGAGAGAGAGGGAGGGAGGGAGCAAAGAAAAGGAGGGAGACCCGACATGTCCCAAGAGATGGGGGAACTCACCCAGACCCGGCTACAGAAGATCTGGATTCCCCATACCAGCAGCAGCCGTCTGCAGCGTCGCAGAGGCTGTAAGTGGGGTTGGGGGGGGGGAGCTGGGCCCCCCAGGGGAGTGGCAGGGCTGTAAGTGGGGCTGGGTCCCCAGGGAGGCAGGGGGTGCTGTAAGCAGGCCCTGGGTCCACAGGGGATGGGGGGCTTGTAAGTGGGGCTGGGCCCCCAGCAGGGCTGGGAGGGCTGTAATTGGGGCTGGCAGGGTCAGGATAGGGGCAGCCAGAGACAGCTGAACAGGAGGGGAATCTCCATTTGTTTTTTGGGAGAACTCTTTCTCTCCTTGTGCCTTACTTTCTCAGCCTGCACTTTTCATCTGGGTCTTGGAGGCTGCATCTCTCTCCTTTAGATATTTCTCTATCTCCTTGGGCTATGTTGCTTAGAACATTCTATTTTCCTTCAGAAATTTCCCTTCCCACTTAGAACCTTTCCTTTATTTTTAGAACATTCTATTCTGTCTCTTCTCGTTCACAACATGGCATTTAGGGTTCCCCAAGGCTGCAAATTGGAATTACAGAATATCAGGGTCTCAGACTAGACCCTGTCCTCCAACATGCACACACCCCTTTTATAGAGAGGAAAACCGAGACCCAAAGTGTGGGAGTGACTTGCCGTGGGTCAGCCAGCAAGTAAATAGAGTCGAACTTGAAAGCTGGGAAGGCACTTGCAAATCACCTAGTCCAACATTTGACAGCCAGGGAAACTGAGGTCCAGAGGAGGAAAGGAACTTGCCCAAGGAAACTGAGTCACTCCCTTATGAAGACTGGGAAAGTTTTGTCCCTTCACTGGGAGCCCCTCCCCTCTCTCCCGACTCTCCACCTCCTCTCCCCAGCTGGGGGTTGGGGTGAGGCGAGGTGACGTGTCTTCGTTCAGTCCCTCTAGCTGTGGGAGACAGGTGGTGGTTACACAAAACCACCATGTGGGGCCCTCCCTCCCTCCTTCAGTCCTGTTTCAGAGTGTCCTGTTTCCATTAATGGGAGGACACTGTCCCACTGTCCCAGAACCAAATGTTGCAGGAGGGGGTATCAAAAAGGGACAGAGATTAAAGGAAGGAGATGCCTCAGTGCCCAGGGACATCAAGCAAGCGGAAAATTCATTTGAAATTCAAACTTTCAAACAGGAAAAAAAAAAAAGTTACATGGGGAGGAGGAAGGACATGGAGGAGGAGGCAGGATATGGAGGAGGAGGCAGTGGGAAGGGGGCTAAAGGAGAAGGTCAAGGGCCATAAATATTGTCAAAGAAGAGAGGATAACAGAGCCTGTCCTCGCTCTGGGAGTGCTTCTTTGCCGAGCTTTATGGGCTGGGTCCTGCAAATTCTCTGCAGATAAGGCCACAGCAGCACAGTTATGCCGATGTGGTGACCTTGGAGCAGTCCATTCCTCCTACATTCGTCAAAGGGCCTGCTTCCTCTCCAAAGCCCAGGGGAACTTTACCCCCACCTCTTCAGCTCCCCTTCTCCTAACGTCATTCCCCTCATTCCCCCAATGGCTCCCCAGGCCCGGTCCAGGCTCTCCTGAGGGCAGGCATCCCAATTCCAGCCTGAGCATTTAGCAAATGCCCACCTCGCCCCCAGAGGGAATCGTGGGGGGCGCTGTATAGCACCCTAAAGTCCACCTAGCCCTCTCTTCGAATTTTACAAAAGGGAACCCGAGGATCGGGAAGATGAAGCGTCCCAAGGGACCACTGGAAAAGAGCTGGGGTTTGAACCCAGGCCTTCTGCCTCCCAGTAATGATAGCACACCTGGCTGGAGGCTGAAAGGCTCACCCAGTCCTTTCCTCCTACGCCCAAGCATGATCACTCCCGTTGTAATGGGGAGGAAACGGAGGCTCAGAGGGCTGGCTACCCGTGTCCAGTAAGTAAAGCCTGAGGTGTTTCAGCCTGAGCCTCCCCCGACTTCAAAAGCCTTTCCCCTCCACCCTGCTGGCAGGCTGCTGAGGGGGTAAGTGGACAATCACCACCACATAGGCCGAGACACCCTGGAGCTAGGGAAAAGAGGGCCAGCAGTAGTCAGGGGATGGGATCATGCCTTCCTTTCTCAATGCCTTCTCCCTAGTCCCAAACCATCTTGGTGAACGGCTCCATTAGCTCCGCCATCTTTACATTTTTCTTGGGTATTTTGCCCAGGTCTGTCCTATGCCCCACCATAAGCTACCTTGCACTCCACCTTCTACGGTCTCCGATTCCCCAGCCCTAGCCCCACCCTTGGCTTCATTAGGTCATATGCTCCAGGAGGGCAAGGATTGGGTGGGGGAGGGGGAGTGGCACCAAGCATCTTCCCAAGCATATAGGAGCAACTTACTGAATGTCTGTCAATTTGAATTGAATTTCAGCATCCATTCCTCAGTTCACCAACTCCCCGACGATGGTGATCATGGTGGGGCTGCCCGCACGGGGCAAGACCTATATCTCTACCAAGCTTACCAGGTACCTCAACTGGATTGGGACCCCAACCAAAGGTACGTACAGCCTTCCGGCCAAGGAAGCTCCCCATCAGAAGGAAGAGGTTCCCCGTCCCCAGGATCCCCGAGTTAGTGGCTTCCCTCATCCCCACCTAGTGGCCTCAGGGGATCCTAGCACTGGACGGGACCTTCCAGAGATGAGAAGGCAGATGCCAAGGTCACCCAGGTAGTAAGAAGGAGAACTCGGGTCCTGAGACTTTCAGACATACACGATCATTCTGAGACTCCAATAAAGACACAGTAACGTTTGGGCCAAAGCGCGTGGCTTTGAGTTTTTCCCAGGTATCCCAAGTAGCTGAACTCAGGTTCTGTGACTCCAAGGCAATGCAGGGTCCCCCCCTCAGATAGAGGCTTGAAAGATTGAGGCTCTGTGTTTGCCTTTGTGTCTCCAGTGTCTTGCATGTAGTAGGCATTTAATAAATGCTCAGTGAATTAAACGTAGCTATGAACCTATGTCCTGATCCAAGCACGTGACCCCAAGTGTCCAGGATAAGGGGGGGGGTTGTCAAGCACCCACCCTCTTTGCTAGTCAGACCGCACATGCTGGGAAGAGCCTTGGGAGCAGGATCATAGCCAAAGGGGGCAGACTAGGGTCATACAAGGATCCACTGAAGGAACTGAAGGCATTTAGCCTCAAGAAGAGAACATTTGGGGGCAATGGGACAAGTGGCAAAAGAAGGAGATTGTGGCTGGATGTCAAGAAAACCTTCCTCCCTTGGCTCGGGTTCTGTCCCCTTCAGACAACTGAGGCCAGCTCTCCTCTCCTCCCTGAGGCTTTTCTCCTCCGGGGGAAATATCCCCATTTCCTTCCACAGGGGCACAAATAGCATGAATCCGTTCCCTGGATATGCTGCCTATTGTGGTCCCCAGAACGAAATGCCATGCAGACTCCTTCTATGGTCCTTCCCACCTTTAATGATCCCGGACCCCTCCCTAGAGAAGAAAAGAAGGCATGGCACTGAGAGAAATCACCACACCCCTGAGCCCCTTATGCCCCTAAGGTCAATGGGCCAAACTCACCCACTCAAAGCTGCTTTCTCCCAACTCTCTATTTAGTGTTCAATTTAGGCCAGTACCGCCGAGAGGCCGTCCAATACAAGAACTATGAGTTCTTTCGGCCGGATAACAAGGAAGCCCTGGTCATCCGAAAGTGAGTAGTCTTACTTCGTTCATGGGCCTTCCTTTCCTTACCCCTTCCCTCTTCTCCGTCCTACCAGCCTTCTCTTATCTGTTCACTCTCCTTCCACCCCCAGTAGGCCTCCTGCCCCTGCCTCTGCCCCCTCTGCTAATCCAGACTTGACCTGACCTCCAGGAGGCTCTAAGCCCAAACTAATCTCCTGCTCATCTGACCACCCATGACAACCTTTAGCATTTGGCTTCTGACCCCTTCCTCTTCCCTACCATGGCTTCCCCTTTCCCTACCACCCCCATCACCTTCCCTCTCTCTGTGTCTCTGTCTCTCTCCTCTCTCCATTTCTCTCTTTCTCCCTCCTCCATCACCTCCATCAGACCCCTTCTCTCTCTGTTTGTCCTTTCTCAGGCAGTGCGCACTGGCGGCCCTGAAGGATGTCCATGATTACCTTGGCCGTGAGGAAGGACACGTAGCGGTAAATTGACCTAAGGGTCTCTCTGTGCTGGGTCAGAATGGCCAAGCATCAGAGCTGGGAGACCCCATTAAGTCATCTGGGGCAATCTGGATAATGTCACAGAGGAGACAAATGGGGGGAGGCCCAAAGAGGGGTGAGAAACCATCCAAGCTCACACATAGGTCCTGCACACAAGCACTTACACGGCAGAGCCTCTGGCCTTGAACCCGGGCCTTCCCTTTCTCAGTGACATCCAAAGAGCAGGGCACACAGGAATCTTACACTTGCCTGTCCTGTCAGCCAAGGCCCAATTCCAGTCCCATCTTCTTGTCTCCTCCTCCTCTTCCAGGAAGTCCTCCCCATTCAGCCTAGCCCTAAACTATCTTCTGTCTCTAGGTTTTTGATGCCACCAATACTACTAGGGAAAGACGGTCACTCATTCTGCAGTTCGCCAAGGAGCATGGCTACAAGGTAAAATAACTCTCATTCAGGGCCGACTTAACTTTTCTCTCGTGCACACTTCTAAAGCACCCTGTGTTCTGCTCCTCCCTCTCTCCAGACTGCCACAAATAGAGGCAAAGAGAGAGAGAGCCATGAGGGGAAAGGGCCATGAGCAATCATAGAGTCCAAACCCTTCATTTTCATGATGGGGAAACTGAGGTTAGGAGGGGGCAAGAGATTTGCCCAGAATCACATAGCAGAACTTCTGTGTGGGTGTCCCGAACCCTCGTCCAGGTTGTAGCCAGATATCTCAGCAAGATTTCCATCTCAAATGGGTCATTTTTTAAGTTTACAGGGAATTTCATGAGCTCATATTTACATGCCAGGCCCCTAAGGGAAACTGAGGACCTCCTCTCTTGTCGCCTTGCAGGTTTTCTTCATTGAGTCCATCTGTGATGACCCACACATCATTGCTGAGAACATCACAGTAAGAGAGCCCCACTCTGGCATAACGCCTGTCCTAGCCCTCCCAAGCTCGACCTAAGGACCAATTTCCCCATTGCATGGCCACCTCTTTTGGGGAGCCGGCCCTCCAACCCCTTACTGTGCTCTGGTCTGAGGAGGAGGAAGGCAAGTCCCACAAAGTGAAAACAACCCATGATTAAGAGCTGGAAAGGGCCTTGGAGAGCCTCCTTTTCCATATTCATATTCCTTTCCATAAATGGGGGAACTGAGGCCCACAGAGGGAAGTGACATTGACCCAAAGTTATATAGAAAGGGAAAGCTGGATCACAGTGGGCCATCCTCCTCCCTGGAAAGGGATTATATGACCTCAGCCCAGACTGTTCATGTTCAGGAGTGTGGAAGACATCTATTAAATCAATCTTCCATCTTTCTATCTTTCTTTCTCTCTGAATCTCTCTGTCTCTCTGTCTCTCCCTTCCTCCCTCCCTCTCTGTGTCTCTCTGTCTCTATCTCTCTCCCCCTCTCCGTCTTTGTCTGTCTCTCCTCTCTTCCTCCCTTTCTTCTCTCCCTCTCTCTGTTTCCCTCCCTCCCTCTCTCTCTCTCTCTCTTCCCTCCCTCCCTATCTCTGACTCTTTCTGTCTCTCTGTCTCTCCTCTGTCTCTCTTCCTCCCTCTTTCCCTCCCTCTCTCTCACTGTCTCTCCTTCTTCTCCCTCTCTCTCTCCCTCTTCCCTCCCTCCCTCCCTCTCTCTCACTGTCTCTCTGTCTCTGTCTGTCTGTCTCTCTCTCAGCAAGTCAAGCTGAGCAGCCCCGATTACAAAGACTGTGACCGGGAGAAGGTAGTGGAAGACTTTCTGAAGAGAATCGAATGCTATGAGATGAATTACCAGCCCATCGATGAGGAGCTAGACAGGTCCGAGGCCCAGGAGAACTTGGGAGGGGGGAGGGGGGACAGGCTGAGAAAGGGAGATGTCCTTGAAGGAACAGAGAAAGGAAGTTGGCTTTAGATTGATATCAGAGAAAGAGGCCTGGAAGGGAGTGAATGAAGGAAGGAAGAAAGGATTGTAAAGGACTGAGTAAAAAAAAAAAAAGGATAAATGAAGAAAGGTTTGAAAGGAATGAGTGAAGGAATAGCTGAGAAAGTAACAGAATGAGTGAATGGGGGAATAAAAGAGGGAGGGAAGGAAAGGCTGCATGGAAGAATGGTATAAGTGGAGGAATGAATGAGGGAAGAAAAAA